GCCGAAAGTGCTGGGAGGGAGGGGGAGCTGGCGGAAGTGTGGGGCTCCAGAGGGGCAGGGGGAGGGGAGCAGGCAAGGGATGCACGGGTGACAGGTTGCCCACCACTGGTCACTGAGACAGAGGAGGGCCACTAGTCTTGGCTGCCCGTCGCTGCTCCGCACCCTAAGCCCTCCCAAAACGCTGGTGTCTAAGCGCTCCCAAGCATCCCCCTTATGGAAAGCCAGAATAACCCACAAAAGGAATCGCAGCCCCCAAATTCTGACCCCCTCCTCAAACACTAGGATAAGGGCTCTCCCAAACCCCACCCCATCCAATTCTACAGTCATAAGGGCTGCCAGCTACTGCAACCTCCTCGTAAATTGCAGCAATACCAGCGCCGACTGGCTATCCAGATCGTACACCCTTGTCATACACACTTGGGGCAGGGAATCCCACAGTGGCGACTACTACCAGCTCCCAAACACTACGCCTTTATGCAAATGCTGGGACACCCTACAGTAATAATTGGCCATTATTAGTAATCAATGCTAAATGGCATGTCCGGGGGGAATGTTGCAGTATTGTAGAGTAATATGACTTGGTCCCAGAATTATACGTTTATTTAAAAATACTAGAGTGATACCAAGTCCAACTGAACATGCAACGTTATGCCTACGAAAAGAAAAAATGTAGCACGCTGGAGTGGAAGTATGGGGCCAAGTAACTATGTCCTTTAGAAATATACTCAGGTACTATGGAGTACAAATGGAGATCTAATTAGCATCTCTTTGTGAAAAATACCATGGTAGTTTTTAGTAATATTGGCTTGCCGGGAGCTACCCAACTGTAAACACACTATAGTCATCTCAAATAGAATACCCCTTCTTTCAAAAGAAGCATGGAATAGAACAACGAAATCCAAAATCTGCGTTCATGTCAAAGGAGTCTGGTAGGGCATCTTAGAGTACGTCTAGACCACAAGCTTCTGTCGACAAAGAGCGTCTAGACGACATCCAGTTCTGTCGACAACGCGAGCCGCTTTGTCAACACGAGAGTATAGACGCAAAGGGCAGTGTCAATGCAAGAACGCGTCTGTCGACAGAACTCTGTCGACAAAAGGCGTTATTCCTCGTAGAATGAAGTTTACCGCCGTCGACAAAACTGCCGCGTTCTGTCGACGTTATGCCGACAGAACTCGGCGGTAGTGTAGACGCAGGGATCGTTTTGTCGACAAAAGGCCACTTTTGTTGACAAAACCCTGTAGTCTAGACACACCCTTAGTGGTAGCGTGCCAGATAATCCAACTAGAGCACAGAGTGATAATGGATGTCCAGACATTATCCTCCTGAAAAAAAATATTGCAGAAACCTAAAGTAATAGTGGCTAGCCAAGCAATGCATCGCGACACAAACACTACAGTATTACCAGAGTACCGGTAGTTCTTCTCATACAACAGTCTTACAAAAATGCTAGAGTGCTATAAATGAATAAGAGATGTCTACATATTTTACCTTTTTATTTTATATTTGAAAACAATACTATAGTATACCCCAGTGGTCCTGGCCCGCCAAATACTGCCCCCTTGCCAAAATTACTGCAGTACTCTAGAATATTACTGTTTTCCAAAGAATTCACCCTTAATTGAAGCAATATGGAGTAACAGGCAATGCTGGAATATTGTTCCTCTGGAGAAAATGATACACTATTCTAAAGCAATAATAGCTCCCCAAATACTCTACTTTATACAAACGCTAGAGTAATAATGACAGTCCAAGTAG